ACAGGCATGTGCCACCACACCCAGCTGATTTTTGTATTTTTAGTAGACACGGGGTTTCACCATTTTGGCCAGGCTAGTCATGAACTCCTGACCTCATGTGATCAGCCCACTTTGGCCTCCCAAAGTGCTGGAATTACAGTTGTGAGCCACTGCATCGGTCTCATATAGGGTGTTAATAATTTTTCTCCTATCTTTATTTAAATAAGGAATAAAATTTAGGGGGGCCTGGCCCAGTGGCTTACACCTGTAATCTCAGCACTTTGGGAGGCCAAAGCAGGTGGATCATTTGAGGTCAGGAGTTTGAGACCAGCCTGGCCAACATAGTGAAACCCCATCTCTACTAAAAATATAAAAATTAACCAGACGCGGTGGTGCACGCCTGTAGTCCCAGCTACTTGGGAAGCTGAGGCACGAGAATCACTTAAGCTCAAGAGATGGAGGTTGCAGTGAGCTGAAATCATGCTGCCGTACTCTAGTCTGGGCAACAGAGCAAGACTCGGTCTCAAAATAATACTAATAAAATTTGGGCATAATTTGGTGAAAGTTTTTACTGAAAAGATTTTTTTTGAGACAGAGTTTTGCTCTTGTTGCCCAGGCTGGAGTGCAATGGTGCGATCTTGGCTCATTGCAACCTCCACCTTCTGGGTTCAAGCGATTCTCCTGCCTCAGCCTCCCAAGTAGCTGGGATTACAGGCATGAGCTACTACATCGAGTTAATTTTGTATTTTTAGTAGAGATGGGGTTTCTCCATGTTGGTCCAGCTGGTTTCAAACTTCCTACCTCAGGTGATCTGCTCACCTCAGCCTCCCAAAGTGCTGGGATTACAGGCATGAGCCACCGTGCCTGGCCTACTGAGAAGAATTTTTTTTTTTTGAGATGGAGTCTCGCCCTGTTACCCAGGCTGGAGTGCAATGGCATGATCTCAGCTCACTGCAGCCTCCGCCTCTGAGGTTCAAGTGATTTTCCTGCCTTAGCCTCCAGAGTAGGTGGGATGACAGGCGCGGTGCTTCCGCGCCCAACTAATTTGTTGAATTTTTTAAGTAGAGACAAGGCTTCACTATGTTTGCTAGGCTGGTCTCAAACTCCTGACCTCATGATCCACCCACCTCAGCCTCCCAAAGTGCTGGGATTATAGGCGTGAGCCATCACGCCCGACTGAGAAGATTTTTAAATGTTTTGTTTGGTTGCTGTTCTAGCAGGTAAACATTTAATCTCAGCTTCACTTGGTGGGTGTTTTCTTCTATGAGGTATGATCAAGGTCATAAGTGAGAATGCAGTTTTGGGTTTGTGTCCTCTGTTCCACATGGCCCAGGAAAAGACATATACATTATATTGTATAGATTAGGCATTTGATAACCACTTGCCATTTGAGACAAAACTCTTTCTAGACCATGAAGGGTAATGCTAAGCATGTCTTCCTGTCCACCAAGCTTTTCATCAGCTTTCATCTTCCTGTCAGCCTGACATGGAAGAGCACTGGAAATGGTGTAGGAGGTGGGAACTCTAGGTTTACAGAGGAAGACAAAGCATATAGTTACACTTTTGGGGATGGCTCTGGCAGGAGTAAATGATCTAATGTCCCACAGGTTACAGGATCCTGCTTTTGATTTTAGTAGGACTTGGAACATTCAAGATGGTAGTGAGGACACATGAAACTCACTTCTGGGCAGCGATTTATTAGTTAATTTTGCCCAGAATGAAATCTGGGCAGTGATTTATTAGTTAATTTTGGATTTAGTACTTCATGTCCCACATTAGATCATTTAATCCTGCCAGAACCATCCTGGGAAATATCTAAGGTATGCTTTGATTTTTGTGTTTTGTTTGTTTGTTGAGACAGAGTCTCACTCTGTCGCCCAGGCTGGAGTGCAGTGGCATGATCTCGGCTCACTGCAACCTCCACCTCCCAGGTTCAAGTGATTCTCCTGCCTCAGCCTCCAAAGTAGCTGGGATTACCGGTGCCCACCACCATGCCTGGCTAATTTTTTGTATTTTTTTTTTTTTAAAGTGGAGACGGGGCTTCACCATGTTGGCCAGGCTGGTCTTGAACTCCTTACTGACCTCAGGTGATCCACCCACCTTGGCCTCCTAGTGTTGAGATATAGGCGTGAGCCACTGCACCCAGCCTCTGTTGTTTTTAAGAGATTAATGACTTCTAAAGAAGTTAGAGGTAAGAGGAAAGCACTATTATTTGAAGTTAGTCTCTCTCTCTTTTTTTTTTTTTTTGAGATGGAGTTCTGCTCTTGTTGCCCAGGCTGGAGTGCAGTGGCATGATCTCGGCTCACTGCAACCTCCACCTCCCAGGTTCAAGTGATTATTCTGCCTCAGCCGCCTGAGTAGCTGGGATTACAGACATGTGCCACCACGCATGACTAATTTTGTATTTTTAGTAGAGTCAGGGTTTGTCCATATTGGTCAGGCTGGTCTAGAACTCCTGACCTTAGGTGATCCACCCACCTCGGCCTCCCAAAGTGTTGGGATTACAGACATCAGCCGCTGTGCCCAGCCTGAAGTTAGTCTCTTATCTTTACATTAAGTGTTCGTAAAAGAAATGCACCAACAGTAGATCCACTTTAACTGTTCGATGTCTTAGCAGAGTTAAAACAAAAAGGGTTTAAGAAGGACCAGAAATGTAGTCCATCTTTTTTCTAACTTTGGGGATTTATTTTTAATCTGGTTCATAAGTAAGGAAATCAGCAAATGAGAATGCTTTTGTGCATTGGCCATTCTTTACATAGGGTATTCTAGCTTCTGCTTACTCAAAGTCTGGTCTATAGACTATTAGCACCACCATTACGTAAGAGCTTGTTAGAAATGCAGAGTCATGATTCCAGCGCAGACCTAGCAAATCAGTGTCTACATTTTAACAAGATCCTCAGGTTATTTGTGTGCATATTAAAATTTGAGAAACCTTGCTCTAGCTTACTTTTCACATGGATTTCATTTTTATTTCTGGGTATTTGTTTTTATAATGTTTGGCTAGCTTTTTCCAAAATGCACCCTATGAAGTTAATATAACTTTCAGTAAACAGTCTTTGAGAAAATAGCTCACCATTATGGTAAAGAAGAATGAGAAATGCATGTTTGAAACCAATGTGCCGATAATCTGATTTAATATAGCTTCTTTTGGCTATCATTTGTTGTTTAGCAACAAGGCAATGGCTGTTTATTTTTAAAACAGTTTTGTGACATATTTAAAGATGTAATGGCTGCACTGAATCAATGATTATTATCTATTGTGAAACTTTCATTACAATATGGATACCATTTGTCTTTTATTTCTTTTCCATGTGTCTAAAGAGTTTTATTTAAAAATTTTGTAGTGACAGAACCACTAAAATAACAGGTGAAAGTAAATGATACTTAGTATGATCTCATTAAATATTTGGTTAGGTTTGTGAAGTAGAGGGAATTGAAAGACCATGTTCTAGTGTTTTTTGTTTTGTTTGTTTTTTTGTGGCTAAGAAGATGGCAAGTATGTGTTTGATATTAGTGCCCTTGTTCAGGAATGTTGAACGTCCTTATTTCTTTGAGGATTTGGTTAAAAGGATATTAAGTTTTACCAGTCCCTACTGATAATTCTTGTCTTTCATTCTCAGAAACACTGGAGCGGCCTCTGTGGACCATAAACAGAGAACTAGGCCTGCCTCATCCTCCCTTTTCCCAGCAGCCGGCTCATGAGTCACCACAGCTTCATCAAAATGAGGGCCAGGCAGGGCAGGATCCAGACTGTTCCGCCTCTCCCATGTCCTGCCACAGGTTACAGGATCACGCTTTTGGTTTTAGTAGGACTCAGAACATTCAAGATGGTAGTGAGGGCACATGAAACTCACTTCAGGATGAAATCTGGGCAGAGACTCATTAATTAATTTTGCATTTACTACCTCAGAGTTCAGAAGAAACTCCGAAGTCAGCATTTGCTTTACTCTTTCTTTATGATTGCATCTGACTGCACCAAGGTGGGCCATGCATTGTTTGGTCTTATACCTGATGAAGAAATGGTAACAGCTGACAGAAATGGGTACATCTCATCAAAAATGTGCAGCACTGGCAGAGGGAAGATATGGGACAAATGTGCTTCCTGATGGTTCCGTGGGGATGTGCTCTGGTATGCATCTGCCTGTCAGGAAGAGTCACATTGCTGCTTAACATGCTGGATTGCCCTGGTCTTCAGAATGATCCTGAGAAAACATCATATCACTACTTTGATGTTCTACTTTGCCTTCCAAGGAGCAAAAATAACTTTGGAGCCTTTTGGGAAGTGTGCCCGGGAGTCTTCAGTGGTTGCAGGCAGATTGTTGAGACTGGGGCTTTGATATTCAAGGCCTTTGGCAAGAATCACAGGCTTGACCAACTGGTACCAGGTCAAAGGTTTTTGTATTCTTGTGAATTTTTTTTTGTCCCTATTGCCCAGGGATGTCATTGTAAATATATGTGCATTTATAAATAATTTTTGTATTCATTGATCATATGTGTTGGCTGTGATGTAAATATTTTTGATATGCCCAAATTATATATAATAACCAGTTATAATATTGACAGGTAGCTTCTCAGATCACAGATTTTAAATAACTTGATTTAGTGAGATCTAAAAACTTTATTTAAGGTATAAAAACTGTGGCTCACACCTGTAATCCCAGCACTTTGAGAGGCTAAGGTGGGAGGATTGCTTGAAGCCAGGAATTTGAGACCAGGCTGGGCAACATGGTGAGACCCTGTCTCTGCAAAAAATAAATTTTAAAAATTAGCTGGCCGTTGTGGCATGCTGCTGTAGTCCTAGCTACTCAGAGGCTGAGGTAGGAGGGTCCCTTGAGCCCGGGAAATCAAGGCTGCAGTGAGTTGTATGAAGCCACTGCACCCCAGCCTCAGTGAAGCCACTGCACCCCAGCCTGGATGACAGAGCAAGGCCCTGTCTCAAAAATAAATAAAAAGTTTAAAAAATTGACCTGTTAAGAAGTGTAATCTATAGAGGCAGCTACTTAGTGATTACATATATTAAACACAGTCTTAGTGTAATTAACCACTTTCTTCATGCATAGAGGTTCATACTTCTGGTCATTTCCCATCTGTTTAAAAGTGCTAGGTGATACTCCCTTTCTAACATAAAAAAGCTTGTTTTTTTCTGAGCCTGGCAGTCCTGTCACACCTGTATGCACCTAAAGGAAAACTTGTTTGGAAATTCCTCTCATTTCTTCCTTCTCTCCCTCCTTTCCCTTCCCTCTTTTTTACTGAGACAGAAATTGATTGAGGAAAGTTCAGTCATTCCTTCAGGAACCAGTGAGTTAGATCAGGTATCATAAAGTACATTATACTTTATGTATAATGAAGGCTTCAAAAACTGGAGGCTGATTTAAAGATTGCAGAACTTGGGTCGGAATCATAAGCAGTACTGTGACATGAATTGGAGCCAGAACAGTTGCTGATATCAGAACCGTCTCTTTCATTCTGTGACCTTGCCGTTGCCATGTTTTGATGTGGGTGAGCCACTAGGATATCTGTCACTATCACTGTCTATATCTGAGTCTGCAAATCTTGTCATTATCTGCTTTAATGCTCTTTGAGTTGCAACAGGTGTATTATTTAAATGGATATTTGAAATTCTGTGAACAGGAATTCTGTTGGTACTGAAATAAGTTCTCACACCTGCTTGCTCAGAATGCGAAAACTATTTCTGAGTTCTCCTTGTTCACTTTCTAAAGTGACTGTTGTTTGGTGTTTGAGATATTAACTGAGTTATATTAGGTATGCTATATCTTGGCAAATATTCTCCATGATGAACTCTTCCTACTATGACAGCCAGGACTATGACTGGATTTCTCAGTCTGAGTGCCCCAGATTTATCATTTCTGATTGTGTCTGGAGAACATTCTCCTGGAAAGACATTCCATGTTCCAAAAGCTGCAAAAAGATGACCACTTCGCAACTATGGATCAGTTATTTGCGCCCTTAATGTCTCTTGTTGCTGAATTCTAGAAAACCTCTCAGTCTGATTTACCAGGGGATGTTGAAAAGTCTGAGATGGTGTATTTGTGAAATTTCTCACCATGAATTTGGAGGTAACCTACTTTCAGTTCTCGCTCTGGTTCTCTGTTGGTCTGGGTTCCTGCTTCTCAGTCTTCTCTGACCTCTGGTAGGTAGAACTTTCATTAATACTTCTGTTGCACTTTGTACCTGACCTAGGTGGCCTTGATAATGTTGACTCAGATTGTGGATTTTCCACTTTTCTCTGGCTGTTTTCCTTATTTTCTCCCCTGGGAAGTCTTGCAGATGATGCATGTTCATGTTCTGTATTCAGCCTTCCTTTTTTTTCTTTTTGCTGGCATAACAAAATATAGCCTTCCATTATTAAGGATAAAATTGATCTCTACATTGAATCTGAAGTTACCACTATAGGGCTTACTCTGGCTCACTGCTGTTCAAGCTTGGTTTTCTCTTTGCGCACTTCCTGTCATATTTTGAATTTGTCCAAAAGAGGTAAGGCACTCTATTACAGACTCATTACTAGTACTAGACATCATCCACCTCTATTTTCATCTGATTCTTGTGGGAAATCCCCTTTAATTTGTTGTAACCTTCTCAGCAACTCTTCTATACTTTCACCTATAGTGCCTAGCAAATTGTTGTCACTCATAAGCCTGTAATCTTCATCACTCAGGTTATTTACAAATATAAATCTTCTGGAAACAATTGGTCCATCCAAATTCTGCACTGGGCCACATCCATCTTCTTCACTGTCAGAATCTGAGTTTTCTGTCTTAAAGAACAGCTGGACAGTTGTCTGACTGTTGTGACACAGTATTGAAATACCAGACTGAGTTTTAGTTGTTTCTAGTTGTGTTCACGTTGTGCTTTCTCTGAATGGGAATCTCTGTTCAGCAAAGCTTCATTGACCAGGAAACCAAAGATTGCTTCTTTTCCGAGTTTGATTTGTTTTTAATCTTTTACCAATATGCAGTATATCTTAAGAAGCGAAGAGTGCTCTTGGGGGTAGAAGAACATGTAAAAATTATTTTTTTTTTTTGAGATGGAGGACCTGTCTGTTACCCAAGCTGGAGTCCAGTGGTGTGATCTTGGCTCACTGCAACCTCTGCCTTCCGGGTTCAAGTAATTCTCTTGCCTCAGCCTCCTGCATAGCTGGGATTACAGGCACACCACCATTTCTGGCTAAATTTTGTATTTTTTGGTAGAGACAGGGTTTCACAATGTTGGCCAGGCTGGTCTCGAACTCCCGCCCTCAGGTGATCCACCTGCCTTGGCCTCCCAAAGTGCTGGGATTACAGGCATGAGCCACCGCGCCAGGCCCCAAAATTCTTAACACTGTAAAGTCTTGGAGTGGTCTTTGTTTTGTACAAGTAATTATTTAAGCCAAAACGTTTTCTTGCATTTCCGATAGCAAAGGGCTTTAGGTAAATGAAGAACTTCACACTCTAATATAATGTAATTCTTTTTTGTGTTTTCAGGTTTCCTTGTATAAGCTGTTCTGTTCTCTCCTCTAAATCCAATATTACTCATTAGATAATTTCAGTCACTTAAATAAAAATATCTATTTTTAAGTCCTTGTTCAAGGGTTCTAAACTCACATAATTTCTCAACATTTTGCCAGAAAGTTCAGCATTTATTCATACTTTTTTTTTCTTTTTTTTTGAGATGGAGTCTTGCTCTGTCACCCAGGCTGGAGTGCAGTGGGATGATCTTGGCTCACTCTAACGTCAGCCTCCCAGGTTCAAGCAATGCTCCTGCTTCAGCCTCCTGAGTAGCTGGAATTATAGGCATGTGCCACCACGTTTGGCTAGTTTTTTTGTATTTTTAGTAGAGATGGAGTTTCAGCATATTGGCCAGGTTGGGCTCGAACTCCTGACTTTGTGATCCACCTGCCTTGGCCTCCCAAAGTGCTGGGATTACAGGCGTGAGCCACTGCGCCCAGCCTATTCATACTTAATTTTCAATCCTATGTTTTCTCCCACGGGCAGCAGCACTTCTTTAGCTGTTTAGTAGTGCTACACCTTTTTTCTTTCCTTTCACGTGTCAGCCTCTGATCATTTTCACTTTGAACTTCCTAAAGATCATAATTTCCTGTCCCTTCAATCTGCGATTCCTCTTCTTTCTTATTAGATTATGGTGTAGTTTGTACTAGACTGCCTCAGAATTTAAGAGACCTGGTTCGCTTCCTGACTCTGGTTGTTACTGGCTTTGTGATCAAGGGTGAGTCTTTTTAGTTCTCTAGGCTAGATTTTCTCATTTATGAAACAAGGATATGTTCCTAGATGCTCTAAAGCCCTTTCCAGCTGTAACATTCTATTCTAGGAATCTGTAATTCCCTCCAGGAACTAAGGAGGATCATGCTATTTTAATGAAAAGCTGCTTTCATGACATGTTTGTTTGAGTACAAGACTGATACTGCTCATTCTGACTTGAGCCAGATTTATTTCCTTTATAATAGGAGTAGTGGTCTAAGAAATACTCATTAGGGGAAAAAAATTCTGCTTCTAAACAATGTTAGTAAACAATAGAATCTTGACTCAGTTGAAAAACCACTCATTGCTCTCTAGAGCAGCATGTCTGAATGCTGGTTTTATGGCACACTAGAGTATCAGAATGAGTTGACAGGTGTACCACAACTAATTTGTAACTAGTTTGTGACTCACCTTTCTAATGTATTCAAAGTTATCCCTATAATTATAGTACTCTAACTCAAATTCCGATAGATTTCCTGAGTGGAAAAGGTGGATTTAGGGCTAGGCCGCGAGAGACTGTGCAAATGAGCATCAGCTGTCATTTTGACATGGCAGAAGATAGCCTGTGAGCCAGTGCTCTAGAAAACTTTTCATGTAGGTGTGCTGCCTCTCTGCTCTAGCAGTGGTCCTTCTCCTGACAGTGCTGTCGAAGTCTGGTCTCCTGGAGAGCCAGGTTGTTTTCCATCATGTCAACTCAGATGATTGAGATGTTTTTCTTAGATATTCCTAGGTTGCCTAAATAATCAGGAATCTATTTAAATGTGAAGAGCCTATCTCTGGTCTTTAAATAGACACACACACACACACACACACACACACACACACACACACACACACGCAAATCTTAGGAAAAGGAATTTGTGAAACTTTATTATTGCATATGTTTTTGATCAAGCAATGCATTAACTCTCTAAGCAGCATTAGTGTCCCATGAGTGTTTCTTCCAGCAGTATAATGTCTGCCTAATGCTAATTTAATCAGGAATGTTGCAAAGCAAGGCAAAGTGAAATGTTGAAATACCTCCTTTCCCCACTGTCCCCTAGTGACCACTTTATTTCAGTAGGAATATATAAATCCTCTTGATTTGTTTGTCTCCTTTCAGGCTGATTCGCCAAGTCTACCTGGAAGAAAAGACAGTATTCCTTGAGCTCCATGCCCTACTGGCACAGGATATATGCTTATACCATTGTTTTTCTGTCAATCAGCAACTTCTAAAGTGCTTTCTTTTTTTGAGACAGGGTCTCACCCTGTCACCCAGGCTGGAGTGCCATGGTGTGATCATGGCTCACTGTAGTCACTGCAGCCTCCATATCTCAGGCGCAAGTGACCCACCTCAGCCACCTGAGCAGCTGTGCCATCACACCTGGTTAATTTTTGTATTTTTTGTAGAGATGGGGTTTCACCTTGTGGCCCAGGTTTATCATAAACTCCTAGGCTCAAGCAATCTCCCCACCTCAGCCTCCCAAAGTGCAGGGATTATAGGCGTGAGCCACTGCACCTGCAGGACTTTCCCTAGTATACAAGCTACTCTCTCTTGAAAAAAAATAGCAGGAACCCATTCCAATGTGCAAGTTCCCCTAAAGTGCCACGTCAGAATAACTTTCATGTTTAAAAACAGCTGTCTTCACACCCATTGTGAGGCTACAAAAGGAACATTAAGATGTCAAGCAATTTAGATTCTGTTATCCATTTCTCTATGAAAAGAGAGATGTGTTAAAAGTCTTTAACTACTTGAAGGGTTGTCGTGAAAAATAAGAATTTTATTCCAGAGGACAGGAGTTATACACAGGGAGGTGTATTATATACTTGGTGATAAATTTTGTGTAGGCTAACTGTTTAATAAATTTATCTGGTAATGGAATAATCAGGCTTTTTGGTGGAAAGGTACATGCAGAAGCTAAATCATCATTCTGTTAATAGTGTTTAAGAAATTTCTTCAATCCTGCAGCAGCGTGTCTTTCCATTCAGCATGACAGATGCCTTTGTGTCCTTCGCCAAGGACTTCTGGCAGGTGGAGTGGCCACAGCCATCTCCAAGCGATAGCTCCCATTGAGCCAGTCTAGCTGCTGCTGCAGGTGCAGCATGCCAGCAAGCAGATCAACGCAGATAAGCAATACAAGGGCATTATAGACTGCATGGTCCGTATTCCCAAGGCGAAGGGAGTCCTGTCCTGGTGTGGAAACCTGGCCAGTGTCATCAGATACTTCCCCACCCCGACTCTCAACTTTGCCTTCAAAGATAAATACAAGCATATCTTCCTGGGTGGCATGGACAAGAGGACCCAGTTTGGCTCTACTTGGCAGGGAATCTGGCATCAGGTGGTGCTGCTGGGGCCACATCCTTGTGTTTTGTGTACGCTCTTGATTTTGCCCATACCCATCTAGCAGCTGACGTGGGTAAAGCTAGAGCTGAAAGAGAGTTCCACAGCCTCGGTGACTCTCTGGTTAAGATCAACAAATCTGAGGAGATTAAAAGCCTATACCAAGGCTTTAATGTGACTGTGCAGGGTATTACCATCTGCCGAGCTGCCTACTTCGGTATCTACGACACTGCAAAGGGAATGCTTCTGGATCCCAAGAACACTCAACATCATCATCAGCTGGATGATCACACAGACTGTCACTGCTGTTGCCGGGTTGACTTCCTATCCATTTGACACCATTTGCCGCCACATGATGATGCAGTCAGGGCACAAAGGAACTGACATCATGTACACAGGCACGCTTGACTGCTGGAGGAAGATCGCTTGTGATGAAGGAGGCAAAGCTTTTTTCAAGGGTGCATGGTCCAGTGTTCTCAGAGGCATGGGTGGTGCTTTTGTGCTTGTCTTGTGTGATGAAATCATGAAGTGCATATAAGTTATTTTTTAGGATTTTTCCCCCGTGAACAGGCATTTTCTGTTATATAACATACCTTAAGCATTCTTGACAGACTCCTGGCAGTCAGTTTATCAGTGGCAACTACTTACTTGTTGAAGATGGGAAGCGATAACATTCATCTGACCAGTTTTCTCTTAAAGTCATTTCCATGGTGATGATGATGGCAGCCAATTACATTTTTTATTTTAGTCACTCCTAATAATTTGGAGAAATAAAAATATCTAAAATTAAAAATTCTTCATTGAGATAGAATATGGGCAAGATGACCTTTAAGGTCCTTTTCAGTTTTATCATTGGAAATCCCCAGAAGCAATCTGATAGTCTTACAACTTTGTCCTTTCAAAGTCCTTTATATTCATTTAGAGCTCTTCAGGAAACCAGAGAATTTTGGGCTTTGGTTGACAAAAGGGGTCTGACCTGTGTTCGTAGCTGGAAACATGAAACATGAAATTCTGGGCTTAATTCTTCTGAAGAAATCTTTAAGTGGTTACTAACATAAATGACATTACTAACAAATTTAAAAGCCCATGATGTATTAAAACTTTTACTCTTTATTATTATTTTCAGACAGTCTCACACTATTGCCTAGGTTGGAGTGCAGTGGCACGGTCTCAGCTCACTGCAACCTCTGCCTCCCAGGTTCGTGATTCTCCTGCCTCAGCCTCCAAAGTAGCTGGAATTGATTACAGATGTCTGCCACCATGCTCAGCTAATTTATGCATTTTTAGTAGCAAGGTTTTACCATGTTACCCAGGCTGGTCTGGAACTCCTGACCTCAAGTGATCTGCCCATCTCGGCCTCCCAAAGTGCTGGAATTATAGGTGTGATCCACTGTGCCCAACCCTCTTGATAATTTTTATTCTTGTTTCTTCTTATCTGTGGGACTCCAGTTCGAATGGGGTTGGAATTGTGGTGTTCAGTTTTATACTAGTATTTTACCCAAGTGTGTCATGGCTTTTTCTAATCATTGTAATATCCACAGAAATGCTGGAAGGGTAATGGAATAACAGGTAAATTTGCTGTCATTTTATGCCACATCCTCCTCTCTACTTTGCTTCTTGATACAGATTATAAAGGTAATTGTGAAAACAGCTGGACCTCAGAAGGTTGAGCTAAGATTCTTTTTTTGGCAACCTGCAAGTAATGTTTCATTTTTTTTATTACATGATCTCTTTCCCCATATAGTTGGCAGATGTTTTTTTCCCCTTTCCTACCTTAAACTTTTTTGTTTGGAGTACAGTCTAAAACCAACATCAGTTAGCCTTGATTTTCTTTCTTTCTTTTTTTTTTTTGGACAACCACCTGGTTCATTGATAAGAGTAACAAGTTCGGAACTAAGAGGTATGTTACAAGCTGCCCTTAACAACACCTGAAAACCCAAGAGTCATCTGGAGGCTTTGTCAGTAGTAAGGTAGGTTTTGTGTGTGTGTGTGTGTGTGTGTGTGTGTGAGAGAGAGAGAGAGAGAGATGGAATAGGGTGAAGGTGAAGAAATTGACTTGTGCCTGTTTTCAGATAAAGGAGTAAAGTGATCTTTTATGAACTGTAACTGTCTTGAAAGAGAAACTGATCATCAGGTGGTCAAGTACTCTTGGAATGTCTCTTGGCTGTTTACTGTGGCCTCTTTACAATGGTGAGACTATTTCTACCCTCTGCTTTCCAATATTCTTTTATTCCCCTATTGGATAATGCCAGTGTAAACAGCCCTGATACTAGATGTACCTAAAAAGAGGTATAAGCCAAGTCATTGTTCAGTGTAGTCATTTCCTAGTATGTTTATATTTTGTCACACATCAGAATGTATATTTTATAGAGCATGTGTTTGTCTACTTGTCTGTCTACTGTAATATGTCTTTAATAAAGCTAAAGTACATTATGATTTTCTGGTCATCTTTTGCCTAATGTACAGCAGTGAAATGGTCCATTTTTGAGTTTGTATCCTTTTGAGGGGGTCTTCCAGTAGCTGTACAAGTGATAACAGGGCAGAGTTGTTGTTCTTTTAGTTCTTGCCAAGTCACATACTGCCTTGAGCCTGCCCCTGGCTGCCCCTGCAGCTATGAGTTGTGAGGACAGGTACTGGGTGCTTTCCTGCTTCCTCCCTGGTTGTATCTACCCTGGTGCTAGATGTCTGGCAGGTATGCAAACAAATACACTTAATAATTCATTAGAAAATAAGAGTGCTTTCTGCACAGGGAAGGATATGAAGGCAGCATTTTCTAATTTGGTAAATCTTTGATTAACAGTATATTTAAAGAATGTTAATATTCTGGTCAACTTTGTTACTATACTGTATCATAGGGGCCATTTTCTTTGAGGCTAGCAACTCTTTGAAAGCTGGGTTCATAATATTTACCCCATTGTGTACTTCTTTTTTTCTTCCCAGCTAATTTTTGCATTTTTAGCAGAGATGGGGCCCGTTGTGTACTTCTACTGCACTTTATTCTTTACAAGGCACTTTCCACAGACATCTCACTTGAATTTCACAACACTCTTATGATGCAGATTGGGCAGACAATTTTTACACATTTTATAGTTATGGAAACTGGCTTGGTGAGATTATCACTTACCCAATATCAAAAGCTTTTGTTTTACCTCACCCACTTCCTCCTTTTCTTTGTTTACAAACTTTTGATATTAGGTAAGTGGTGATTTCACCAAGTCCTGGGCATCCCATCCCTGAGAGCACTGGCCAGAAAGACAGCAGAATTTGAATCCAGGTTTTCTGATTCAGAGTTTTCCCCACTACGATACCTTCCAATTCAAGCATAGTGTCTTCTCTGTAGTTTGCATAAACACTGGATAAAACTTTCTGGACATGGATCACTTCCAGTGTGACAGATTGGACTGAAATATAACCTGGAAACTGCTTTTTACTAAATTTCTAATAGAAAAATTAGACTTTTTTTTTCTCTTTTAAGATGACATGCAAAAAATATAATGCCATGATCTTTTTTTTATTGTTAATTGTCTTTTATTTTGGAGTGGGACATGCTAGTGGGAGCATCTTGCTGAGTTATGAAAGATATTTGTTCACACTTGTAGATATTTAGTGGTTTGTGACAGTGCTTAAGCAATCTGTGTTGAAGGACTAGTTGCCATGGATCAATACTTTTGAAAAATACAATAAGAATTTCTAGAAAAATTAAGTTAAAATACAGGCATAAAATTTTTTATTACAGATTCAACAAACATAAAATTACTATCAAACTGCAATTAAAATTTCTAAATGCTTATTCTCAGTTTGTAGAGTTTATTGTGGACAAAGAGCAAAGAGTTTGTGGATTGGCACAAGTCTGCAGATCAGTTCTGTAGTAGCATTGCTGTAACTGTATAACAGTGCATTTATATGTCAGGATGGGAATCAGTTTAACTTATTTTGGGGGATCCTTTTAATCTTGCTGGTATGATATGATTGAAACTGAGGACTGGACTTTTGTCCAGAGGCCTCCCTGACTAGAAGCAGCAATTAAAACACCTTTTCAGCTCCCCAAATTCCTCCTGTTCTTTGGCTCTTCACTTGCTGGTTAGAATCAATCATTTGTAGCACGCTATTTGTTTTCCAGGTCTGCTTTCTGGACCTGGATGGGCTGCCTGTGACTTGCTATAAGGGAAATTGTATCACAAGAGAGGGAAAGGGAAGAGGAAGTACATGGGTCATTATTCTGGGAGGAAGGCAGTCTGATGCTATGGAGTCTGATATGGGCTTGTGGGTGATCACTAGAGTAATGCTTCATCTGGGCTGTTTCATTCACCACCTCTACTGCTTTGTTCAGCCAGTCAAGAAATACTTCTTGAAATCTCTAGGCTAGAGATTTGTCCCTGTTCATTTAGTTCTCAGACCTTCCCCAAAGGCCAGTCATCAAAGGACAGACAAAAAGAGGCAAGTAGGAAGTTTTAATACAATTACTGCTGGGAAGAAGTGATGCAACTAATAGCAAATACATTCTGCTTTCGCCTTTCAAATACTGTGAAGCATTTTACATACTTAACATTTATTTACAACAATCCCTTTGAGGGAGATATTCTTATCTCCTGTATTAGGCTGTTCTTGCATTGCTATGAAGAAATACTTGTGACTGGGTAATTTATTTAAAAAAAGAGGTTTAATCAGCTCACAGTTCTGGAGGTTTTATAGGAAGCATGGTGCCAACATCTCCTCAGCTTCTGGGGAGGCCTCAGGAAGCTTAAAATCATGGAAGGCGAAGGAGGAGCAGATACGTCACATGGCAAAAGCAGGAACAAGACAAATTGGTGGGGAGGTTCCACACACTTTTAAACAACCAGATCTTGGGAGAACTCACTCAATTCATGAGAACTCTACCCCCAAGATGCAATCACCTCCCACCCGGCCCCACCCACAACACTGGGGATTACATTTCAGCACGAGATCCGAGTGATGACAAAACCCAAACTCTATCATCCCCATTGTACAGATGATGATCCTGGATAAGCAAGTTGCCCAAATTAACATAATTAGCAAGCAGTACAACTAGGAATTAAAAATTATATCTTCCTTATATCTAAGCACACATTCTTTCCCTGTGCCAAACAAAGGGAAAAAGTGAGCTTTTATGAAACTCCTACTTTGTCATTTAGCCTTTGTTGTTGGCTAAACTTGTTCTCCCAACCTTCTGAAATTCAATATATTGGTACCTCAGAGTATAATCATATTCCCAGATAAGATCTTTAAAGAGGTAATAACGTTAAAATGAGCACAGAGCAAAGACCAAAGACCATGTATGGACCATCAAGAAGGAAGCCACAGAGAGAGCTCTCAGAAGAAACCAAGCTTGCTGACATATTGATCTTGGATGTCTAGCTTCCAGAGCAGTAAATCAATTGTTTAAAGCCATCTGGTCTGTGGAATTTTGTTATGGTAGCCCAGGCAAACTAATAAGGTCTTTCAGCAACACAGCCAGGCTGGTAGGATTTTCTTCAGTTTTGAGAATAAAATAGTCTCAAGCTATGTGATTTGCCAGAGGTCATGTGCTCCAAAGCCCCTGCTCTTTCTACTGAGCCACCCTGTCCTCTGACCCCATCTGGTTCTTTGTATACTAAAATCTACTGTAGAGACTTAATATTCATATGGACATTCTCAGGAGAAACTGGAAGTGAAATTGATGAACGCACTGGCTAGTATGCTTGCAGTTCTGGTGCACTGCACATCCCCAGCTTCACGGAAGTTCAAGCAAAAGGCATCTGCAGGACTGAACTATACTTGCCACAAAACAAGAAACTGGAATGTCTTTATGACATAAATGAGTGCATCTGGGGACAAATAAGCAAGTTATTTGGAGTTTTCAAGAAATACTTTTAAACGCCTGTCTTATTCTTTCTTCCCAAGGACAAACCGGATTTTGAAATCAATATGTAGGATCTCATATGTGGAATGACTAGCTGGTCTTGAGTTTACTCAAAATCAAGTAGTGTAATTTTGCCTCCTTTGTAAATGCTCCATCAAAGCCAATGTGAATTTCTCTCTCTTGAAAACAGTAGGTGTGTGGTTTAAGGTCAGCAGTTAGAGGCTAGTTTGAATTATTTATTCTGGGCAAACTTCAGAGGCAAGCACACGGGTATATGCTCCATGCCAGAAACAGCTAGTGCAGAGAAGAAACAATTGTCATCAAACAGTGAATTACTGCCACCTCCATGGTTCTGTTCTTTATACATGTAACCTGGAGGTGGCTCAGGGACTATACGGATAGGCTCTTACTAAAAAGGAACTTAAGGTTAAGATTCAGGTGTGTGAGGTTGAGTGTTTTGACTTTTGGGGAAGCACAAAATCATCATACATTGCAGGTCTGGGGGAAAAGCGGTGCATCATGTTGGTAGGGGCGTTACTTTTTGGGCCGCACTCCTCCATGTGCACCAGCTTTCTCACGCCTTTTCCCGAGCTCAGTCACTTGTCTCACCTGCCAAATGTGTACCATTTCCCAAAGTGCCCCTGAGTGCAAAACACTATAAAACCCAGGGAGGAGGCCGGGCACAGTGACTCACGCATGTAATCCCGGCACTTTGGGAGGCTGAGGCAGGCAGATCACAAGATCAGGAGTTTGAGACCAGCCCAGCCAATATGGTGAAATGCTGTCTCTACTGCAAATACGAGAATTAACCGGGCATGGTGGCGCATGCCTGTAGTCCCTGCTACTCAGGAGGCTGAGGCCGGAGAATCGCTTGAACCGGGGAGATGGAGGTTGCAGTGAGCCAAGATCGCGCCACTGCACCCCATCCTGGACGATAGAACTAGACTCTGTCTAAAATATAAACCCAGGAGGAGAGAAGTTTGAAAACTACCCCATGTCTTCCCTGTTGAAAGCTGCAGTATTTCTGCCTTTGGGCAGCCTTAATTTAGAGAAGGCCCCAAGAGCTCATTACTTTTCTTAGTTCAGGGAAGAGATTTTGTAAAGATAAATCCCAATTTACAGAAATGACTGTTCGTTTTGACCAGAAGTCCTTACTTGTGTCTAAGTTCTGGGTGTACGACTCGTTAGTGAAATGGTTACTGAGGCTGGTGGAAGAATTTAAGAACAGCATTTCTTCTGTAGCTCTTGAATGCAGGGGTGTGGCTTTTAGAATGTCTTTGGTTACAGAAACAAACCTGTTCAGTTTTCTTTCTCTCCCCATTAAGCCAGAACATTTCCTTCCTTATTGCTCTTTCTACCTTTCCTCCAATCCCCAATAAAAGAGTTTGGTCAAAAGAACTGGCAACTAAACTCCCAAGTCTCCAGTTTGCCATCCATGGTGGGAGTCCCATGGCTAGGCGGGGCTGCCAATTTCCTGCAGAGACAGCTGGCTACATATAGCTACATATATGAGGATTCCTTGTGGTAAGCCAACGTCCTTGGGCCCTGCATTTACTATATGGTTTTTAAAAGTGAATGATGCAGAGCACTGCCTTTGACAGAGCTGGACTCCAATCCTACCACACCTCTTACCAGTTGTGGGAGCTTAAGCCAGTTTCTTAGATGCTTTGTACCTCATTCCCCTTATCTATAAAATGGAAATAGTCATGCATACCTTATATGCTTGTTGAGACAACTTAGATGAGCTGAGCATATAAAGTAATAAGCATAGTGCCCAGCACAGTGCTCAACACGTTTTGGCTGCTATTAGCTATTGTTATGGGCACTCAGAATGGAGCACTCCTTTCTCACTCCCTTCTCTATCTGGGACAACTCAAGATGGGGCAAGGGGAATATTAATAGCAAGAAGTAACCTCAATGAGCTATTTTAGGGCTAGTCCTGGAGATTGGGATTCCTAGTTGGATTTTGCTTAGAAACAAGATACAATATCCTGAAACTATGATTAAGTGAAAAGTGCAGGCCAGACATGGTGGCTCACGCCTGTAATCCCAGCACTTTGGGAGGCCAAGGCAGGTAGATCACCTCAGGTCAGGAGTTCGAGACCAGCCTGACCAGCATGGTGAAACACCATCTCAACTAAAAATACAAAAGTTAGCTGGGCACGGTGGTGTGTGCCTGGAGGCTGAGACAGAAGAATCGGTTGAACCCAAGCAGGTGGTGGTTGCAGTGAGCCAAGATCGCTCGATTGCACTTCAGCCTGGGAGGCAGAGCGAACTCCATCTCAAAAAAAAAAAAAAAAGAAAAGAAAACTTCATTCAGCTTGAGTCCATTGGACTTGTATGCTGAGCAGTTCTTACTGTGTGATTTTGTGAAGTCTTGATGTCACCCGATGTCTCCCCATCCCTGTTCCCATAGTGTCTTTGTTTCTTCCAATTGGTTTATAGTGGTTCTTCTTAACTTTCCCAGGAGAGGACCCCCTTTATCTGGAGAATAATAATGACAAAGTCTTGCGTGGGATTTTGAATGTGATTCTTGCATGGGAGGGTCAAAATTGAGAAACTTTGACCCTCCCAGAAAGTATATAGTGTTAACTGGGCAACAATGAGCATCTTTCCTAAATGAGGGCTGTCCTCAGCCCACAGATTCCGCCTATAGTGTATTTCCAGTGGTTGTATAGGAATTCATGCAATAATCTATGGCAAACTGAATTATTTCTTAGAATGTTCTCTTTAGGACTCAGTATGTTGGCTTCATACCAAGGGGAATGGTGGTATTGGGAAAACTGCAGATGTTCTGGAAGCAGAGCACTTGAGTTCAAATCTTTACGACTCTTGATTTGCAAAAAAAGAGGAAAAAAAATCTTGACGGCTCCTCTTATAGGCAAATTACTAAATTTCTCTTAGTCTCTGTTTCCTTCTCTGCATGACAGCAGTGAGAGTACTCACTTCATAAGATTACTGTAAGCACCAAGTGGGAATCACTTCTGCTGGCGAGAAGAAAACACTTCAGTTTTTATAAGTCTGACTTATTTGGGTGTATGGGTAAAGAAAATGGCAACTTCATTTCCCCTGGGCCGTTTGGCCGATCAGTGGACTGCACTTTATCCTTGGGGAACAGCTGTGGCTTTTTCATAGATTCAAACCTCACTCTAATTTCCCCAAGGCTCCTCCGGGTTTAATCTAAAGGGAGCCCCTTGTTTGAATTGTTGTTGGTCTGAAGAGGAACCAGCAGCTGCTTGCCTGCAAAGATATGTTGCAGCCTCTGTGGGCATTCCCTGGACACTGCACACAGCTGCTGTCCCCAAACAGCCACAAACTAGGATGCTTTGACAAGGAGAGTTTGAATATTTTATGTATCTTGTTTTCCAATTACACTTAAGAATTGAATAAGCTGAGTAGTAGGAAGCTGAATTGCTAGCCTGGCAAAGGAATGAACAGAAAAACCTAAAAAATTTAAAAAAGAGGATTAAAAAGAATGCCCTTGTTCAGTGTAGGAGCCTGGCTTGCTTTTCTTGGTACTCTGCTGTTCCTGATACTGTTCAAGCTGGGCCTTGAAGATCTGGAACCATGTAGCTTGGATTTTCTTCAGACCAAAATACCTCGATGCTCATTTTGTTTCTTTTGAGACAGAGTCTCTGTTGCCTAGGCCGGAGTATGGTGGCGCAATCTCAACCCAATGCAACCTCTGCCTCCTCGGTTCAAGTGATTCTCGTGCCCCAGCCTCCCGAATAGCTGGGATTACAGGCACCTGCCACCACTCCAGCTAATTTTATTTATTTATTTATTTATTTATTTATTTATTAAAGACGGGGTTTCACCATGTTGGTCAGGCTGGTCTTGAACTCCCGACCTCAGGTGATCCGCCCGCCTTGGCCTCCAAAGTGCTTGGATTACAGGGGTGAGCCACCATGCCTGGCCTGCCTGGCCAATTTTTGTATTTTTAGTAGAGACTGGGTTTTGCCATGCTGGCCAGGCTAGTTTTGAACTCCTGACCTCAGGTGATACTCCCACCTTGGCCTCCCAAAGTACTGGGATTACAGGTGTTGAGCCACCACACCCAGTCTCGATGCTCATTTTGAACTATCAACTTACCTTTGATGCCTTTGTAGAATCATCCATCTACTCCTCCATAAATGGTCCAGGATTAATGTGCCTTCACGTTCAGTGTAAGGCAGCTGATTCCAGAAATGTAAGCCAAATCAGAAAACTCTCCTAAAAAGGATGTCCTATCTACTGCAAGGCTGTCTTCCCAAGCTGGCCAGTAAGTCTGAATTTGGGCACAGAAGAAGAGGAGCAGATGGGTTGGAGTCTGAGATGCAGGGCAAACTGGAGGGTTTTCTTGGCATATTTGCCCTTCAAATTTAGATTTTAGAATATGTGAGATAGTGACATTCTCACATTGGTCCTAAGCCATGGAGGAAATCGTGCCCCATTGAGAAGGGGAGACATTTCAGCCCTTGCTATCTCATCAGCAAACCACAGGATTGGTGAAGGGGCTGATGGGATCTTTTTAAAGGTCTTGCACCATTTTCTTGCCTTTCTTTTTGTTCAAAGACATCTCTTTTTCTCGTGTTTTCCATCTTGAGGCAAAATTGAAAACTTAGCCTACACATTCTTTTGGGCTAGAACTGGCCTCTAGGTGGCGATTCAGTACAGAGAATGGTGGTGGCTGGCGTCACCTCAAGCCACCATTTCTCAGAGATAGCATTATAGAAGGGGATTCATGAGAAATCGGGCTTCACAATAGAGGGACGACTTGGCCATTGTCGCTGTTCAAGCTGGGATCCTGAAGAGGTTGGGTGCGTGGGGAGCTGTGAAAGCACCTAGTCTCAAGCAATATAACATGGGTTTAGGGCTCCCACTAGGACGGAGCCCAGGGTAGTTTGGCAAGGTTGTAAGGTTTGGGCTTGGCCTGCTGGGAACCCTGAGCCTTGAGCTTCAGGCTTTGTTCCCTCCCTTCTGGGAGGCCTCACTCAGGCTCACAGCCCCTGATGGAGCCCTCAGCTTGGCGGCTGCCTGCCCAAGCTCTCCAGAAAAGGCAGACAGCTCCTAGTTGAAGTCCCCTCACTTTACCTCCTTTTCCTTCCCCCTGCTCCCTCCTCTTTCTCTTCTCCTTCACCCCTCCTTCCCTTCTGCCTCCCCCTCCCTCTGCTTCTTCCTCCACCCTCCCCGCTTCCCCACCTCCTCATACACCCCATTCTCACTTTTTGCTATTTACAAAGCACTTTCCCCATGTGATCTCATTTGCTGCTCAGAGACTCCTAGAGAAGCGGGACAGGTTGAGCCCTCCCTTACTCCATGCACACTTGGAGGACACAATGCAATAATGTTTATAAAGGTTCCTTTATCTGTCTGTCACCACCAGCAAATAGTACTTTGGGGCAACTACTGAATTCAAATTAGTGCATGTTGCTTGGCATGGGGGAAGTCTCAAAATTATTTATTGAATGAATAAATTATAGTTGCAAACAACTAAATCAAGGGACAGTACGTAGCAGAGTCCATTCAGGAAGTTAGGCTTCAGACTTGTAGGACCAGCGATATTGCTGCACTAGATACTAATTACATCATAGTTTTCTGGTAAAAAATACAGTATGTAAGTACATAAAGGGACCCATGCAGATCTGTCTGCCTGTCTGGCACTCAACCACATGAAACTACTCTGGCACCAGTCTGCTGTCTGTCAGGGGACACTAGGAACTGTGGGGGGATCTAGGGGAGCAGCTGGCCTTTCTGAGGCCTTCCTTAAGGTATGGGATAGGCACTCCGAGCTTCTCATCTATCAAAACCCTTCTGTCTTTAACTGATCTAACATATTGAGATAAAAAGCACCACCCAGTTATGACTCATCCCACTCCGTTCCAATCCATGAATCAGTACTTTTTGGTTTTTGCTTAAATGTACACATTTCAGGCAGTTTAGGACTCTGCAATGAGACTATATGGTTCAAATCCTAGCTCTACCACTATCTAGGTATCTGGCCTTGGGTAGGTTGTTTAACCTCTTTGTGCCTCTCTTTGTCGTCTTTTAAATGATAATCCTAAGAATATTTAACTCGTAACATTACTGTGGGGATTTAGAGAGTTAATACATAGAACACAGTGAGAACAATGCCTGGCAATAAGTCAAAGCTAGAAGTGTTCAACTGATCTCTCGTTACAGTTTCCCGGCTTTGAGAATTGGCTTGTGTTCATCGGATGGAGGCGCTTCATGATTTTGTAGAATTCCTTGGAATGCTGTCATTTTAGCCGTGAGGCTTTCAACATTTCCTACTCAGTTACAGCTTTCTTGAGGCCTAAAGAAGAGAGGTTCGCACCTGTAATCCCAGCACTTTGGGAGGCCAAGGTGGGCGGATCACAAGGTCAGGAGATCGAGACCATCCTGGCTAACGTGGTGAAACCCTGTCTCTACTAAAAATGCAGAAAATTTAGTCGGGTATGGTAGCATACGCCTGTAGTCCCAGCTGAGGGGACTGAGGAAGGAAAATTGCTTGAACCTGCGAGGCAGAGGTTGCAGTGGACCGAGATCGTGCCACTGCACTCCAGCCTGGGCGACAGAGCAAGACTCCATCTCAAAAAAAAAAAAAAAGAAGAGAGGAAATGATTTGAAGTGTATTTTTCTGCTAATGAGGCTGTGGCGTTTCTATTCATATACAGCATCCCCAGGTGGCTCCAGACAGAACACAAGAGCTTTTTTTTTCTCTACAATAGTGCTTACCACCTAGCACACAGTAGGTGTTAAATAAATGCTTGTGCCAGGAAGGGAGGAAGAAAGATGTAGTACAGAGGAAAACATTAATTAGTACATAGTAGTTTATATGGACAAGGTCCCAGTGGGGTATACACTTGTTCCCTACGAACTAATGGCTAAGCATGAAAATCACCAAGGAAATGTGATCAACTCAGAGGAGAAGGAGGGGGAGGAGGAGAGAGAAGAAACTGGAGGAGCCTGTTACCTAACCGAAGATATCAGTCCTTCCATTGCAAATGGTTCCATCAGCTGGGGCCCAGTGGAAAACCTTGCCGCTGCTCTGGGACATCCAAGGCATCTCCAATTGCTGCCTGCCCCAGAGTTTCATCCTTTGAGGGGTAGTTTGTCATTTGTTTGGTAGCCTCTACAGTACTCTTTCTTATGGCTAAAGCCCAGCTAGCTCACCAGACATTTCTGTGGGCTTTGGCAGGAGAAAGAGACGGGAGGCAAATGATGGTCTAGGGTGGTTCTTAGGAGAAACGTTTCTGACCTTGGCAGTCTTATTCCAATTTATATGCCAAATTAGGCTACTAATCGATCCTCACCCACAACCCAAGTCCTCTAGCCTGAAAAGCTTAGAGTAGACAGAATGTAACTAGAAACTACTCTACGTTCTGTAAGGGAGCTGAAATTGAAACAGAGCTTCTCTAGTGAACACATTAGCTAATCAACTAGGTCACTGATGGTAAGTAGGACTGTCTCAACTGTGTGCCAAGTCCGATTGATGGATAAAGCCTGCCTGGGGAATTGTGTGGAGTTGGATTCTGAGTCTTCATCATCACATCTAGGCCCCAGGGGCAGGTGCTGTAATTCACCATTAAAGTCGGTCACAAGTGCAAGAATGGGGAGTCGCCCCAGGAGACATAGATACTGTAGATACACACCTGCTTGAGGAGGCTATTTGGAGTTAGGAAAACAAAGATGGTTGAATGGTCAATTATGCTCATTTAATTAAATCATGATAGACCTTGAACAATTCAACTCTTGAGGAAAATGTGGTATCAGCTCAGGAAAGAAGACATAGAAGGAATGAGAACGGGGACAGTGGAGTGTTCCAGTTCCCTATCTCTGTACAGCCTTCTCAGTATTTACAAACAGTCAGATTGGGCTAGGCACGATGGCTCACAGCTGTAATCCCAGCGCTTTGGGAGGCCGAGGTGGGCGGATAACCTGAGGTCAGGAGTTCGAGAACACCCTGGCCAACATGGCAAAACCCCGTCTAATACAAAAATTACCTGGGCATGGTGGCAGGCACCTGTAATCCCAGCTACTTGGGAGGCTGAGGCAGGAGGATCGCTTGAACTCAGGCGGTGGAGGTTGCAGTGAGCTGAGATTGCAGCCTGGGTAACAGAGCAAGACTCCATTTCAAAAAAATAAAAAATAAAAATAAAAACAGATTGAGAGGTAGCAGGCATGACGACATTAGATAGTTATTCTGAGTTGCAGTTCAAGGCCTGGGAAGCTCCTGGAATAGACAGTTAAGCCATTGGCAACCAGAAGGAAAGGCAGACTGTTTCCCAGAGTACTGTGAATTACTTAGCATCCATGAGATGTTTTAAGTATTTTGTCATGAAACATAGGCAGTGGTGGGGAGGGGATTTCCATGGTTATTCAAGTTTGGAAAACCTGTCAAAAAAATTCAGTAAAGTTAAACTGTAGCCCAAGGTGGCTCTTGGCCTGAGGGAGTTATAGAAATGTGATAAGCTAAGAAACCAAAAGTAGAGAATGGGTGAAGCTCTGAAAGGCCTTAGACGAAAAGATGAGGGATTTCGTTTTGATTGGGAGGCACTGAGGATTTGTAGGCAGGAGAAGGGATACATTCAGGGTTGGGGGTTAGGAAAATAACTGGTGGTACCATGAAGATTGAATACAGAAGAGACTGGAGGTCAGAAGACTAATTAGAAAGGTGTTACATGGGCCGGGCACTGTGGCTCACACCTGTAATCCCAACACTTTGGGAGTCCAAGGCAGGTGGATCATGAGCTCAGGAGATTGAGACCATCTTGGCCAACAGGGTGAAACCCTGTCTCTACTAATATACAAAACATTAGCTGAGTGTGGTAGCACACACCTGTAGGCAGTCCCAGCTACTCATGAGGCCGAGGCAGGGAAATCCCTTGAACCCAGGAGGCGGAGGTTGCAGTAAGCTAAGACTGTGCCACTGCACTCCAGCCTAGGTGACAGAGCAAGACTCCATCTCAAAAAAAAAAAAAAAAAAAGAAAGATGTTATGTGGCCCAAACAAGACATGCTAGCAGCCTAAACTTGGGCAGTTGCAACGGAATGAAAAGGGAAGGGCCAAAGTCAAGAGACATTTTCATCAGTAATAATATGTCAGCTCTAGTCTGACGTCCAGCAGCACTCAAGTACATGAAGGGCGATACTGACAGGGTACTGACCAGCCCTTCTCTACACCCTTAAGTACAAAGCCAGCAGAGTGGGAGGTAAATTGCTGAGATGAAGCATTTGATTAGATAGAAAGTGTATCTTCCTAATGCTAGGGATAATTAAACCCTGGAAGAGTTACCAGAGCACTAGCATAGCTTTTCCACAGGAAAGCAGCCATCTGCCCTGGCTCTCTAAGGCACATGACCACTCAAAGCTCCTTTCTGCTCCATGAGTCTATAATTAATGTATCTTAGGAATCTGAATATTGACAGGGGCCTTAGAGCTGATGTAGTCAGTGGCTTTCAAACCTGACTGAACATCACGATCCTCTAGGGAGCTTACTAAAATGCAGATTCTCAACCTCCGTTTCCAGAAACTTGGATTTGATTGGCAGAGTCTGGGAATCTGCATTTTTTGATGTCTTCAAGTGATTATAATGTCTAATCAAATTTTTAGACCCACCAATTAATTTTATAGTGAGTGAACTGAGGCCCAGAGAGGAGCAGGGACTTCCCTAAGGCCATACTGGCAAGGTATCAGTTAGTGGCAGAGTGGACACTAGTATCCCATGCTTAGGGATCCTCCAATAGGCCACAAACAAATGCTTGGTCCCATTACTTGGCTCTAGGCTGAGGGTTACACAGTGAATAAAAGGCTCAGAAACCTTTCCTGTTACCCCCTACGCTCAAGGAGATGTGTTGCTTCAGTATAGAATGTACCCAGGAGTGCTGAGTGTTATTATTAGCCATAACAATAGTTACTGTTTGCTGTGTGTCAGGCCTTGCTCTAGGCACTTTACATAAAACTCTCTTAATCTGCACAATTACTCCATCAGATCAATTTTATCCCCATTTTACGGAAGATGAAACTGAGGCACAGTGAAGTTAAGAGGGCAAGATTCTGCTCTCACCATACATCATGCCCTGATAACTGTTTTCCTTTGGCCTGGAGCACTCAGCCTTCACTCTGTAGTCACTCCCTTTACTTCACACACTCAGTACTAGCCTCTTGCTCTTACTTCTCCTCAGAGAGCCATTCAGAACAGAGCAGCGGAAGAGTTTGGCTCCAGAGTCCCAGTGCCACACCTCACGGTAGGGACCCCTTTACTGAGCAGCTAAAACCTGAGAGTGGGACTGGACTGCTGAGGCAGCTGGCAGTGGGCAATAGTGACCAGTGACTAGCCCTGCCAGTTTTCCTGGAGGAGGACCTGCAGCTCAGCCAGGCAGCCAGGAGAGAGAGGCTGCTTCTCTTGCCAGCTCCACCTTGCTACTTACAGGGGTGGGATTTACCAGGGAATTCATTCTTTGGTGATAGGGTTGGGAGTTCCTTTTTTTTTGAGACGGAGTTTCGCTCTTGTTACCCAGGCTGGAGTGCAATGGCGCGATCTCGGCTCACCGCAACCTCTGCCTCCTGGGTTCAGGCAATTCTCCTGCCTCAGCCTCCTGAGTCGCTGGGATTACAGGCATGCACCACCATGCCCAGCTAATTTTTTGTATTTTTAGTAGAGACGGGGTTTCACCATGTTGACCAGGATGGTCTCGATCTCTTGACCTTGTGATCCACCCGCCTCGGCCTCCCAAAGTGCTGGGATTACAGGCTTGAGCCACCGCGCCCGGCCGGGAGTTCCTTTTTTAAGGCACATTCTTGGCCAGAGTAGAGCTGCACGGTTGCAGTGCTTTAAATAAGCCTTTATTGCTGGTGAACATAGATGAGGCATGTATTAGTCTGTTTTCATGCTGCTGATAAAGACATACCCAAGCCTAGGCAATTTACAAAAGAAAAGAGATTTAATTGGACTTACAGTTCCATGTGGCTGGGAAGACCTCACAATCACAGTGATGCCATGAAGATAAAAGTCACGTCTCACATGGTGGCAGACGAGAAGTTTGTGTGGGAAGACTCCCCTTTTTAAAACCATCAGATCTCATGAGACTTATCCGCAATCACAAGAACAGCATGGGAAAGGCCTACCCCCATCATTCAATTACCTCCCACTGGGTCCCTTCCATAACACCCGGGAATTCAAGATGAGATTTGGGTGGGGACACAGCTGACCCATATCCAAGACACATGTAAACATTGTCTCTAGAACGGCTGGTGAAACATCCATTTTGTTACTCAAAGACCTTGTGTTAGGACTCACTTGATAAAAAACTCCTTTGGACTTAGTCAAAAAAGCTGATATCTCGTGGAGGCCCTGATGGTGAGTTTTCTTGGCTGTGTCTTTATTTTGCAGTGGCTGCTCAGGATTCTGTTACTTGCTAAAGTGAACACTCCATCTGATTTTGAGTTCTTGACAGAATTAACTTTTCCCTCTTCAGTTTTTCCTCCAATTTTAATGGTTATTAATCTGACTCCATTTTAAATTGCCCAGTAATGGGTGTGGTTTTAAACTACCTAATGGTTTACTGGAAATAAGCAGGACAGAAAATAAATGAATTAAATTTCTTATTTCTGTACTACAAGGAGTAATTATGGAGGAGTCTTTTTGACCATTCATTTTATCTACATTTTATTTCTGTGATAAGAACAATAGCCAGCACTTAGTGAGTGTTTGCTGTAGCTAGACACTGTTCTTTACACATATTAACTCATTTCATAACAATCCTATGAGGTAGATATTATTATTATTCCCATTTTACAGATAAGAAACTGAGCCACAGATTAAAGAAGCTGCCTGTGTTCACACAGCTAGCAAACAGTAGAACCAGGGCTCAAACTCAAAGCCAGTATCCTAGTGGTTCTTAACAGGGGATGATTTTACACACACCCTGGGGACGCAGGAAGTTTCTAGAGGTATTTATAGTTGTCACAGGTGGGGAGGTGCTCACTATCATGTACTGAGTGGAGGCAGGGATGCTGCTAAACACCCTGCAATACACAAGTCAGACCCTCAGAACAAAGAATTATCTGGTCCGAAATGTCAGCAGTGCTGAAGCTCAGAAACTCTGCTGTACACCAACTATTACATCATCACTTAGCCTTCACATAAGCTCTTTAGTCTGTTTCTTTGTCCTTGATCTGCCTGGACAACTGAACATGCCTCAGAATCGCTCAGGCAATTGTGTCCACGTTGGTTCACCCACTGTAAGGGAGCACACACATTTCAGAAAACAGGCCTTTGTGCTCCTGAAGCCTGAAGAGCAGAAACCTAATGGGAAAAGACTGCTGAAAGTAGGAAGCAAAAAGCAGAAAGCCTTCATGCCCACTGCGATTGCTGGTCCAAAGAAGGTCAGGGGCTGCTGAAGGAACACGTGGGCTTGTTACATTAGGGTAAGTGCGTCATCCCATGACTAGACCCACCCAGGAAGCCATAGGTTACTGAAGCCCCAGATCCCAAGTACTTCATGTGCTCCTGCACACCTGCTCCTCCCTCCCTCTGCCCGTGGCTCCTCTGCTCCCGGCTTCCCAGACGTTAACCCCACATCCTGTCTAGACTATTGACTAAGAGCAGGCTCCTTTTATCTCCTCCACCTGACCTGGCCTACAGAGATAGCTACCACTGTAAGCTCCCTGGGGCGAAGATGAGTCTTTCTTCCATTGCACCCTCACACTGAGCATACTGCAGGTACCTGTGTAAGTACATCTCAGCAGAAAACTCTGTGTACAGCCTCCTCATGCATAGTGCTAGAAGAATCCTCCTAAATCTGGAAGCTAGGGCATCACTTTTGGAAGGCAGTGCTGTTGTGGAAAGAACACTGAGCAAGGAAACGGCAGGCCTGGGCTGCTGAATTTGTGCACTCAGGACTCAGTGCAGGGCTCAGTTACAGTTGCCTCCTCTATGGTGCCTGGCAGGGGCTCTGCATGGGGCTGGCTGTCAACAGTTATTTGTTGGATGGAATAAATGCATCACTGCTCTGCTCTGCTCTCCTGTCTGGACAGATGGAAACCACCCCTACCAATGGACCCAGGTGGTGGCAACAGCCTGCTCCATGCAGAGGATGTAAGAGACAGGGATGAAGAGGCTGAATGGCTCACCCACTCCCTGCCTACTGTGCAGGTACCTGTCCACCATGGTAAATTCTGCCCCTTGTCTGTGGCCTTGTCTCAGCCTACCCCATTCTACCTCCCAGCCACACACACTCTGGTCTATATGGTCCTTGAGGTAAGGGACCATTCGTTAATTAAAAGGAGATTTATTAGGGGCCTACTATGTGGCCTGCTTCTACTGGCCTGCTTCTAATTGCCTGCTTCTTATTAGCTGCAGACACAGCAACTAATAAGAAAGACATGGTTTCTGACTAGCGGGGAATAGAGATTTTGAGCTAATAACTATAAATGGGCTAGCGTGAGGAAAGAAGAAACAGGGGAGTTTGTTACTGCTTATCACCGATACATGGAAATGCTAGAAATTCAGTGGATGGAATTTTCACCATAGAAGCTGTTTCTGAAAAAGTACCCTAACACTTTGGCTGAGTACCTTGAATGAAAGGACAGTGGAAGGCCTTGCAAGCAGCCTCAGAACCAGGCTCTGACTTTCTCCTGCCCTTCTGTCTGTTGCTCTTCATGCTCCCCTGAAGCAAGTCATAGAACTCAGAATGCCTTTTCCCCAAAGCAGGTCATAGAGACTAGAGCCCCTTTCCCCCAGGGCAAACCATACGACCTAGGAATATTACTTTAATCTTCCCCCACCTTTCTGTGTAGGAGCTAGTCATAAAGAAATTATCTGCCCTACTCTTGTTCAATAGTAGGTAATAAGATCCTCATTCCGAAAAGGATCCTGCTTCTTACCTGGGAGGAAGAAATGTCACACAGGGACAAAGAAGAACCTAAGCAGACAGGCCTTGCTGGGTTTCCCCACTCTGTCTATTACTCTTACCTTATTCTCTTTTTGTCCAATCACATTTCTACATAGCTGTCCACCCGTCATCAGATCTAAAAATAAAAGTGGACAGTTTTCCCTTTGGTCTTCATTTCTGAAGTCTCCTGTATCAGTAAAACTTTGATTACATAAATCAGTTATGCTTTTATCTTGTTAACCTGTGTTTTGTTATAGGAGTGTCAGCTGTGCCCCTTATGACGGGAAGGAAAGGTATTATACCCTTTCTACCCCTAAAAAGAGCCAAACTTGTGTCTCATTCCTCAATACTGATCCTACCCACTGGCAAATGTGGCAGATACATGCATGACCTGGTTTAATAAAGACTACACCCCAAAATGTCCAACTTCAGGACCCATTATGATATCTTAGGTTGGTGCAAAACTAATTGTGGTTTTTGCCATTAAAATGCCACTATTTTATGGTAACTGCAGTTTTTGCCATTAAAGTGATGGCAAAATGCTGCATTTTTTTTTTTTTTTTTTTTTTGATATACAGTCTCACCCTGTCACCCAGGCTGGAGTGCAATGCTGCCATCTCAGCTCACTGCAACCTTTGCCTCCCGAGTTCAAGCAATTCTCCTGCCTCAGTCTCCTGAGTAGCTGGGATTACAGGTGCCCGCCACCACACCTGGCTAATTTTTTGTATCTTTAGTAGAGACGGGGTTTCACCATGTCAGGCAGGCTGGTCTCAAACTCCTGACCTTGTGATCCTCCTGCCTTGGCCTCCCAAAATATTGGGATTACAGAAATTGTACCAGCCACTGCAATTTCTTTTGCATTAACCCAGTAGTTAAAAGAGTATTGGAATTGTCAAAAGATCCATTTTGTTTTCTTGTGGTATATTAGTTAATGTTTCTCAGACAATGTCTTTCTCAGCAAAATTAGAATAACAATGACCATCCCCAGCAACCCCGGAGGCACCCTTCTGGTTACTGAATGGGGCTGGCCCTGTGGCAGCTCTCCTCTTTTAGCAGACCAGAAAACCCGTCCCCAGAGCAGGGCCGGGTCACATGAGGCCTGTGATTAAAACATCTGTGGCCGGGTCCTGGTAGCTCACACCTGTAATCCCAGCACTTTGGGAGACCAACATGGGTGGATCACCTGAGGTCGGGAGTTTGAGATTAGCCTGACCAACATGGTGAAACCCCACCTTTACTAAACATACAAAAAATTAGCCAGGCGTGGTGGCATAAGTCTGTAATCCCAGATACTTAGGAGGCTGAGGCAGGAGAGTCGCTTGAACCCGGGAGGCAAAGGTTGCTTTGAGCCGAGATCTCACCATTGCACTCCAGCCTGGGCAACAAGAGCGAAACCCTGTCTCAAAAAAAAAAAAAAAAAATCTGTGATGACTGAAGGAAGCACAAAGGGAGGACTACTGTCCTCTACCCTCTGGGCTCCTCGACAAACTACAAACTTGTGCTTGTGCTTGAAATGGAACCTTCAAGTATAGGGTTCCCAACTAGTAGGAATAGAAGTGACAAGGGATGGACAGACATTTTACATTTTCCTTTCTAGTGCTGATTTTTATTATGTTTGGGGAAAATACGATGAGCACAGCAAACCCATGAGTCTACGAATATTTTTGTTTAGAATAATGCTAGGTTAAAAAAAAAAAGGTGGACCTTTGACAGATGCATAGTTTGCAAAATTTTCTTCTATTCTGTAGGTTGTCTGTTTACTCTGTTTTGCTGTTGCAGGTCTTTAGTTGTATTAGATCCCATTTGTCAGTTTTTGCTTCTGTTGCAATTGCTTTGGTATCTTTGTCATGAAGTCTTTGCTCATTCCCAGGTCCCAAATGGTATTGCCTAGGTTGTCTTTCATGGTTTTTATAGTTTTACACACTTATACATTTAAGTGTATAAATCGTCTTAAGTTGATTGCTGTATATGGTGTAAGTCTAATATCCAGCATCTATGAGGAACTTATTTACAAGAAATTTTCAAGAAAATAAACAATCCCATTACAAAGTGGGCAAAGGATATGAAAAGACACTTTTCGAAAAGACATACATGCAGCCAACAAGTGTATGAAACAAAGCTCAACATCAGTGATCATTAGAGAAATACAAATCAAAACCACAAGGAGATACCGTTTCATACCAGTCAGAATGGCTGTTAGAATGGGTATTATTAAAAAGTAAACAACAACAGCAACAACCAGATACTGGCAAGGTTGCAGGGAAAAAGGAATGCTTATACAGGTATTGATCGACTTACGACCTATGCAACTTACGACCATTCAACTTTACGACCACAATGACTAGCCACGACTGCTCCGCGTCTGGCAGCGCAAACGTTGCCCAGCTGGGCGTACGACAGTGCGGACCAGCTTCTGGCAGCACGACCATCTCCACGTGCACCATTTCAACTGTACATATAGCCTACTCAACTTACGACCAAATCGTGTTACGACCGGTCTGCCGGTCCCAATCGTGGTCGTAAGTCGAGCACTAGCTGTACACTATTGGAGGGAGTATAAATCAGTTCAACCATTATAGAAAACAATGTGGTGATTCCTTATAGACCTGAAAGCAGAAATACCATTACAAAGGAATATAAATTGTTCTGTAATAAAGACACATGCACATGTATGTTCACTGCAGCACCATTTGCAATAGCCAAGACATGGAATCAGCCTAAATGCCCATCAATGGTAGACTGGATAAAGAAAGTGTGGTACATATACATGGAATACTATGTAGTTTAAAAAAAAAAAATGAGACCATGTCCTTTGCAGGAACATGGACAGAGCTGGAGGCCATTATCCTTATCAAAGTAACACAGGAACAGAAAACCAAATACCACAAGTTCTCATTTATAAGTGGGAGCTAAATGATGAGAACACATGGACACGTAGAGGGGAACAGTAGACACTGGGACCTATTGGAGGGTGGAGGGTGGGAGGAGGGAGAGGATCTGGAAGAATAACTAATGGGTACTAGGCTTAACACCTGACTGATGAAATAAGGTGTACAAAACTCCTGTGGCATGAGTTTACCTGTATAACAAACCTGCACATGCACCCCTGAACCTAAAATAAAAGTTTTACAAAAGGTGAACTAATTTAAAGAAATAGCCAGGTAAATAACCAGTTGGCACAATGATGTGACAAATATCATGAAGGGGCACACAAATGACTGAAGTTTTACAGACACCGATTTACTGAGTCTCTTCATGTTAGCAGTAAAGAAATCAGGGACCAAAAGGGTGAAATTTAAGGTGGGCAAGAAATAAACCTGGGATTACAACTAAATCCTCTGGAGCTCCAGGTGGTGGTGTTCTTCCCAGCACCCGAGGGTTCTTTTATTTTAAAATGACAGCTTTATTGAGATATAATTCATATACTATAAAATTTACATTTTTAAAGTGTACAATTCAATGGACTTTAATAGATTCACAGGATGAAGCAACCAATTTTACAATTTTAGAACACTTTTATCGTCTCAAAAGAAGTCCCACATCAATTAGTAATCACTTCCCCTTCTTGCCAAACCCCTAGCAAAAATGAATCTATTTTATGTCTCTATGGATTTGCCTATTCTGGACATCTTCATGTGAGTGAAATCATATGATATATGGTCTTTCGTATCTGGCTTCTTTAATTTAGCTTAATGCTTTCAAAGTTCATCCATGTTTAGCATGTATCAATACTTCATTCCTCAGTTATGGAAGATTAATATTCTACTGTATGAATATACCACATTTTGTTTACTCATGTATCAATTAATGAACATGTGGTTTTTGCCATCATGAAGAATGCTGCTATGAACGTTGGTGTACAAAATTTTATATGGAGACATGTTGTCATTTCTCTTGGGTACCTACCCAAAAGTGGAATTTCTGGGTACATGGTATGATGGGGGTTCTTGATGGCAAGCAATAGAAACTGCCTCTGGCCCTCTTGAACAAAGAGGAAATTTACTAGCAGGATAGTGGAGGCTTCCAGGATCCATAAGGGAGAAGCTGAAGAGCTGGGCCGGGAAAATGGGGCAAGAGCCAGGAGTTCAGTGGTCAGGCAATGGAGCTGCAGGCAGCACCACCCCACAGAAATGCCTGCCCTTCTGGCTCTTGAGCAAGATTCAAAGTCTAGGAGAGAGCCTCCAACTGGCCAAGCCTGTGAATCACTCCCATTCTCCCCATAAGCTTGGGGACAGGGAGACGAATGATCTGATCACTTCAGCCCTATAGCATAAGGGAGGCATTACACAAGTGACAATTTCTCCAAAAGAGAAATTAAGGTAACAAATTGAAGTTGGAATTCGGGGGAATGCTGGACACCTAACAAAAAGACAAATGTAATACGGCAGGGCCAGATTTTGAGGGGGAAGAACCAACACAGAGAGGAGGGAGAAAGCAAGGGAAAAGCAGAGGAAGGGAGCAGAGCCACTGCCTTAAGCTCATTCTGAAGCCACGGAACCTCTGGATGTCCAGTTACATGAGCAGCATAACTTGGGTTTTCTCTTGCTTGCAGCCAAATGCATCCTAACTGATGCAGTAGCCATTACACATAAAAGCCAACTAGAGATAGAAAAAGGCACGAAAATCAGTGAGAAGAACCTGGGTCTGGCCCCGTTTCTGCCAGAAGCATTTGATTTCAGAACCTCAGTTCTTTCCTTTTTTCACAGAGTTGCAAAGTGAAACGAAGGATATAAGAGCCCTGTATAGACTAAAGTGCAAAGGACTTCCCCGTAGGCTCTTATAACCAAACAAGACAGAAGCAAAAGCATGGTAATAAATGAACAAACAGATGTTTTCTCAAAGGCTTTAATATTCCAGGTTCCCATTTGGCCTAAGTTTTCATGAGTTCTTTACACTTGGCAGCTGGGTGGGAGGTAGTGGGAGGTAAGAGAAGCAAACACTTTGAAGTAGAATTAGGTCAAAGCTGATCGTTAAACAGCTTGTAGATTTTGGGAATTTGCTTTTCCGTTTCTCTATATGCTTCAAGAAGCAGTGGTGAAACTGTAGGAGGGGAAGGAAGGAGGGTGGCAGAGGTTTTACCTTCACTGTCTTATTCCATCCTTATAGCAGCCCTTGGAGGTAGGGATGATTACTTCCATTTTTCAGAGGTGGAAATGGTTCAGAAAGGTGAAGGCACCTCCTGTAGACATGAATTTGAACTTAGTCCCAACAGATGTTAGATTCCAGGCTCTTCTCAGTACCCCTCACCAACTCCCAGGAAACATGAAAACATACGCCATTATATTCCATTTGGTATCTGGGCTTCAAAGGTTTAAATGCAGCGTACAGAGGGTTGAGTTCAAGCACTGTTTCCCCAGGTTAACTTCAAACATTCTTTTTCCCTAAAGGAGCCAACTGTGGTATCAAAAGAACATGGCCATATGTGTAAATACCAAGGATATCTTTAAAGAACACTCAAGAAACTGGTCACGTGGGTGACTTGAGGGTGGCAGGAGAGGAAACTAGGTCACTTGGGGATAGGGAAGAGAAAAACTTTCTTTTCATTCTTAGCCTTTCCCTTTATTTCTTTCAATTAATAAACATTTTTAGAGTAGCTTTTGGAGCGCAGCAAAATTAAATGGAAAGTATAGAAATGTCCACTGCCTCCTGTTCCCACACAGGGACAACCTCCCCACTATCAGCATTCTGCGCCAGAGTGGTCCATTGTAGGTTACAATCTATGAACCTACATTGCCACATGATTATCAACCAAGGCTCATAATTTACATCAGGGTTCACTCTTGGTGGTGTACACTCTGGGTTTTGATAAAAGTGTAATGACATCGTGGTATCATACGGAGTAGTTTCTCTGCCCTAAGAATCCCCTATGCTCTGTCTGTTCATCCCTCCTTCCTCTCACCTCTGGCAGCCACTAATCTTACTGTCTCCATACTTTTGCCTTTTTCAGAATGTCATATAGTTGGAATAATACAGAATATAGCCTCTTCAGATTGGCTTCTTTCACCTAGTAATATGCATTATGTCCTTTCATGGCTTGATAGCTCATTCCTTTTTAATGCTGAATAATATTCCATTGTTTGGATGTACCACAGTTTATCCATTCACCTACTGAAGAACATCTTAGATGCTTCCAGGTTTTGACAATCATGAATAAATCTGCTATAAATATCTGTGTGCATGTTTTGTGTATACATAAGTTTTCAACTCTTGGTAAATATCACAGAGTACAAAATGCCGGATCATATGGTAAGAGTATGTTTAGTTTTGTACAGAACTGCCAAATTGTCTTTCTTTCTTTTTTTTTTTTTTTTTTTTTTTGCTGGAGGGCAGTGGCTCACTGCAACCTGTGCCTCTGGGATTCAAGTGACTCTCCTGCCTTAGCCTCCAAGTAGCTGGAATTACAGGCATGTACCACCATGCCCAGCAAATTTTTGTATTTTTAGTGGAGGCAGGGTTTTACCATATTGGCCAGGCTGGTCTTGAACTCCTGATCTCAGGTGATCTCCCACCTTGTACTCCCAAAGTGCTAGGACTACAGGTGTGTGAGCCACACACTTGGCCCAAACTGTCTTTCAAAGTGGCTGTACCATTTTACATTCCCACAAGCATTTCCTGTTGTCAGTGTTTTGGTTGGCCATTCTAATAAGTGTGTAATGCTATCTATTTTTTTTTTAATTTGTAGGTTTTTTTTTTTTTTGAGACTGTCACTAGGCTGGAGTGCAGTGGTGCGATCTCGGCTTACTGCAACCTCCAACTCCCTGGTTCAAGTGATTCTCCTGCCTCAGCCTCCCAAATAGCTGGGACTACAGGCATGCGCCACCACCCAGCTAATTAATTTGTAGTTTTTGAATGTCATATGAAAATATGCCTTTGTTGAGCACCTTCCTCTTGTTTTGTTTTTATTTTTTAAAAGACAGAATATCACTGTGTTGCCCAGGCTATATATAGTGCAGTGGCTATTCACAGTATTACAGGTACAATCATAGTGCACTGTAACCTTGAGCTCCTGGGCTCAAGCAATCCTCCTGCCTCAGCCTCTGAGTAGCTGGAAATGTAGAAACATGTGTTAGACCGTTCTTGCACTGCTGTAAAGAAATACCTGAGACTAAGTAATTTATAAAGAAAAGAGGTTTAATTGGCTTACAGTTCTGCAAGCTTTACAGGAAGCACAGTGCTGGCATCTGCTCAGCTTCTTGGGAGGCCTCAAGAAGTTTACAATCATGGTGAAAGATAAAGAGGGAGTAGGCACATCACATGGCCAGAGCAGGAGCAAGAGAGTGAGTGAGTGACTGGGGAGGTGCCACCCATTTTTAAATGACTGGATCTTATGAGAACTCACTATCACAAAGACAGCACCAAGCCATAAGAGATCTATTCCTATGATCCAAACACATCCCACCAGACCCCACCTCTGGCATTGGGGATTACAATTCAACATGAGATTTGGATGGGAACAAATTTCCAAACCATATCAGCATGTGCCATCACACCAGGTTTGAGCATTTTTTTATATGTTTACTTGCCACATGTATATCTTCTTTGGTGACGTGTCTGTTCAGGTCTGTTGCCCATGTTTAAATCGTTTTTATCATTATTATTATTTTGAGTTTTAAGGGTTCTTTGTAAGTTTTGAATTATATTCTTTCATCTGATGTGTCTTTTGCAAATATTTTCTCCCAGTTGATTTTTTTCTTATTCTGTTTTTGTTTATTTATTCTTTGAGACAGAGTCTTACTCTGTCACCAGGCTGGAGTGTGGTGGTGCTATTTTGGCTCACTGCAACCCCTGCCTCCCTGGTTCGAATGATTCTCCTGCCTCAGCCTCCCGAGTAACAGGGATTTCAGATGTGCACCACTGCACCCAGCTAATTTTTGTGCTTTTAGTAGAGTCAGGGTTGGCCAGGCTGGTCTTGAACTCCTGACCTCAGGTGATCGCTTGCCTTGGCCTCCCAAAGTGCTGGGATTAAATGTGTGAGCCACTGTGCCTAGCCCCTCCTTCTGTTGATATGGTCTTTCAAAGAGAAGTTTTTCATTTTAATGAAGTCCAACTTATCAGTTATTTCTTTAATAAATTATGTCTTTTGTGTTGTATTTTTAAAGTCATCACCATAACCAAGGTCATCTAGGTTTTTTTCTGTTATCTTCTAAGAGATTTATAGTTTTGTGTTTTACATTTAGGTCTATTGCAGTTAATTGTTGTGAAGGGTGTAAGCTGTGTCAAGATTCATTTTTTTTTTTTTTTAGCCTGGACAACATAATGAGACCCTGTCTCTATAAAAAATAAAAAAACAATCCTCCCAACTCAGCCTTCCAAGTAGCTGGGATTATAGGCATGGTGGTACAGCTACCTATCTGTTCCATTGATCTGTTTGCCTATTCTTTCACCAATACCACAATGGCTTAATAACTGTAGTTTTATAGTATGTCTTAAAGTTTGGTAGTGCCAGTCTTCTGACTTTAAGTTTTTCTTTTTTTCTCTTTTTTGAGACTGAGTCTTGCTCTATCACCCAGGGTGGAATGCATTGGCATATCTTGGCTCACTGCAACATCTGCCTCCCAGGTTCAAGCAATTCTTGTGCCTCAGCCTCCCAAGTAGTTGGGATTACAGGCACCCACCATCATGGCTGGCTACTTTTTGTACTTTTAGTAGAGATGGGGTTTCACCATGTTGGCCAGGCTGGTCTTGAACTCCTGACCTCAAGTGATCTGCCTGCCTTGGCCTCCCAACATGCTGGGATTACAGATGTGAGCCACTGTGCCTGGCCAACTTTAATTTTTTCTTCGATATTGATTTGATAATTCTGAGTCTTTTGCCTCTCCATATAAACTTTAGACTTAGTTTGTCCATATTCACAAAATAACTTGCTGGTATTTTGATTGGATTGTTTTGACTCCATAAATTAAATTGTAAAAATCTTGACAATATTAAGTCTTTTTATCCATGAACATAGTATATCTTTCCATTTATTTAGTTCTTTTTTTTTTGATACAGTTTTCCTCTGTAGATTTTGAATATAATTTATACTTAAGTATTTCATTTTAAAAATATTTACATATACAATTTATTAATAATTATTTTTATATCTAAGGGTCTCTTGTGGGGGAGTGCTAATGTAATGGTAATATGTTTTTAATTTCAAATTTTACTTGTCATACCAGCAATGGCTGGTATGTAGGAAAGTGATTGACTTTTGTATATTAACCTTATAACCTGGAGAATTGCTATACTCAATTATTAGTCCCAGGAGATTTTTGTTGTTGTTGTTTTGACAATTCTTTCAGATTTCTTACATAGAAAATCATGTCATCTGTGAACATGAGCAGTTTTATTTTTTTCCCAATCTGCATATCTTGTATTTTTCTTGTCTCATTATATTAGTTAGGACTTTCAGTACAATATTGAAACACAATGGTGAGAGGGGACATCCTTGACTTCTTCCTGATCTTAGCAGGACAGCTTTAAGTTTTTCACGATTAAGTATGATGTTAGCTGTAGGTTTTTCATAGATGTTTTTCAAATTGAGGAAATTACCCTCTATTTTTAGTTTGCTCTGGGTTTATTATTTTTTTAAATCACACATGGACATTGGCTTTTGTCAAATGCTTTTTTTTTTGCATCTATTCATATGATCATGTGATTTTTCTCCTTTAGCCAGTTGACGTAATGATGGATTAATTGATTTTTGAATGTTAAACCAGCTTTGAATATATGGAATAAATCCCACTTGGTCATGGCTATAGACTGAATGTTTGTGTTGAAACCTCATTCTCAATGTGAAGGTGTTTGGAAGTGGGCTTTGGGAAGTGATTAGGGCATGTGGGCAGAGCCCCATGAATGGGATTAGTGCCCCTAAAACAGAAACCCCAGAGGCTTTATTGTCTTTTCTGCCGTGTGAGGATGTAGCAAAAAGATAGCTGTCTATGAACCAGGAAGCTGGCTTTCACTAGGCACCAAATCTGCTGTCATCTTGATTTTGGACTTCCCAAATTCCAGAATGTAAGAAATAAATGTTTGTTGTTTTAAGCCACCTAGTTTATATTATTTTGTTACAGCAGCCTGAATGGACTAAGACAGTCATGGTGTGTAATTCTTCTTATACGTTGTTGGATTTGGTTTGCTATTTTTTATTAAGAATGTTTGTATCTATGTTCATGAGAAATATTGGTCCAAAGTTTTCTTTTCTTGTGATGGTTTTGATTTCAGGGTAATGGCCTTATAGAATGAGTTAGCAAGCATTCTCTCTTCTTCTATCTTTTGAAAGAGACTGTAGAGGAATAGTATAAATTTTCCTTCAGTGTTGGGTAGAACTCACCAATTAACCATCTGGGAACATCATGTTCTGTTTCAGAAGGTTATTAATTATTTATTCAACTTCTTTAATAGATATATTCAGATTGTCTATTTTTTCCAGTGTAAGTTTTGGCAGATTATCTCTTTCAAGAAATTGGTGCATTTCATTTAGGTTATGAAATTTGTGGGTGTAAAACTGTTCATATTATTCCTTTGTTATTCTTTTAATGTCCATGGGATCAATAGTGATGTTTCCTCTTTAATTTCTGATATTAATAGTTTGTGTCTTCTTTTTTTCTTAGTCTGGTTAGATACATACTGATTTTATTGATCATTTTAAAGAACCAGCTTTAGGCCAGGTGCAGTGGCTCATGCCTGTAATTCCAGCACTTTGGGAGGCTGAGAAGGGTGGATCACTTGAGGTCAGGAGTTCAAGACGAGCCTGGCCAACATGGTAAAATCCAGTCTCTACTGAAAATACAGAAATTAGCCGAGTGCAGTGGCACGTGGCTGTAATCCCAGCTACTAGGGAGGTTGAGGCAGGAAAATTGCTTGAACCTGGGAGGCGGAGGTTGCAGTGAGCTGAGGTCATGCCACTGCACTCCAGCCTGGGCAACAGAGCAAGACTCCGTCTCAAAAAACAAAAACAAAGAACAAGCTTCTAGTTTTGTTTATTTTCTCTATTGATTTTCTGTTTTCAATTTCTTTAATTTTTGCTCTAATTTTTATTATTTATTTTCTTCTGCTTCCTTGGGACCTAATTCACTTGTCTTTGCCCTTCTTTTTCCTAGTTTCCAAAGGTGGACAATTAGTTTTTTTTTTTTTTTCAATTATTTTGAGACAGAGTCTCATTGCCACCCAGCTGGAGGATGCTTAGATTATTGATTTTAGATGTTTCTTTCTTTGTAATACATGCATTCAAGGCTATAAATTTTCCCCAAGCAGTGCTTATGCTGCATCCTACAAATTTTGATAAGTTGCATTTTCATTTGCTTTAAAATATTTGAATTTCTTCCCAGATTTATTCTCTAACACATATGTTATTTTGAAATGTGTGGCTTACTCTCCAAGCATTTTGGTATTTTCCAGCTATCTTTTTGTTATTAATTTCTTTTTTTTTTTTTTTTTTTTTTTTTTTT